GTGGTAGGAGCAGTGGTTGTTGACTCAGTAGTGGTAGGAGCAGTGGTTGTTGACTCGGTAGTGGTAGGAGCAGTGGTGGTTGACTCGGTAGTGGTAGGAGCAGTGGTAGTTGACTCGGTAGTGGTAGAATCAGCGATGGTGGACTCGGTAGTAGCAGGTTCGGTGGTTAACTCGGTAGTTGTAGAAGATGCTGTGACAATTAAGAAATGTCACTTGTGATTTTCATCATGCTCGTAAGCATCTATTTGGTCCGAGTTCAACGGTCATTAGTATAGTTAAAATGCCGGGGGAACTATTACTTTTATACTGCAACTTGGTTATTACATATATGTTGGTTTCACGCGGTATATACAGTATATATTAGATAATATAAGCAAATAGTTTAGATAATATAAAATAATATAATATAAGAATATTAATTAATTAGAGAATTTTAATTAAAATTAAGATATAATAAGCAAAATAATAAAGCTCCTACCAGTTGTGGTCGCTGTGCAGATTGAACACTGAAACAATTAAGTAATATCATCTAGAGACTAAGTTTGCATTTTGTCACGCTAGTAATGAAATGATTGTTTGTAGAACAATGTCTTCATTTTTAAGGACAGAGAATGCAAATTTCTGTGTCAAGACAATCCGGGTTTGGTAAACATTTACTTTTTCACATTGGAACTTCATATTTCATATCACATATAGTCAATAATGCATCTGTGCATATTGTCAAAACGGCGAATAGGCCAACTAAACTGCGTTGATATTTGAGGTAAAGTTTGACCGCTGACTCTTATGGATTTAAAGGACTGTTTCCTCCAATATTTTACTCACTTCTTCTCTTATCATTTTTATTCATTATCACCTATAACATAAATTCATTATTATCAATATATATAAACTTACAGGAGAAGGTGTCAAAAGGACATAGCAGGTACACCTGTTGGCACACGCTTCAATCCCACAGCACCCAGTAAATATAGGGAAAACAGTAAAACATGCTGTCACGCAGTCACTTTCTGAAGTGGTGGTGATGGTGGTGACGGTGGCCGTGTCGTAAAAATACAGCTTTGAGCAATCTAAGGCAACATTAAATACAATAAAATATGAGAAAATTCATACGCAAATATATTTAAATCCGACTGGAATGATATCTATGCGAAAAAGATACAATTAAAAAGACAGTTGTGGCAAATAACAGAAAAAATTAACCACATTTTTCTCAAGAGGCGTCACAGATTTTGGCAAGATCCTTTGAACTGAAAATACTGCATACTTTCTCATAAATGTATATTTGTATATAAATTTTGTTACTTTTTTGTTTGACAAGTAATGATATTTCATATTTTTGACATTCAAGGTGTTTTGATAGATACATTTTTACCTGAAGATGCTGTTACGGCGGTTGGTGGAACTTAAAAAAAGATAAAATATATAAAAATATATTCTCACGAACACACTTCAATGCGAATATTGGCCATTGAAAAAGAAAATCATTTTTAGAATAGTCCACATTTCTTCTTCAATTTTCATGATTGTGTTTTGGTACAAATTGGAGTTTTAAAATTATTGCAATAAAGTTCTAAATATACATGAGGAAAACCCATAAAGTTCTAAGGTGAACGTCGCAAAAAATATTCGATTTACTCTATTTTAGCACTTCGTCTATACAATAAGTTCAAAATTCATGTTTTACAACTAACCGAAAAAGAAAATGGCAAAGAATATTAAATTGTTAAAAGCAATTTAGATAAAACGTTGTTACTTTCTATTTCAAGTACTCACCCAATGTTACACAAACGTAAAAAAGATTAACAAGAAGCACGAACATTTTTCCTGAAATATGTATGTCTAGCTGAAAAAATAACTGACTCTGTGCCGAATGAAAAACTGACCAGTTTCTTATATAGTCCATACCGGCATACAAATGCTGATTTGCTGAACACGCCCACTTTCTTGCCTATAAACGTATAATTCAGTGCAAAGATGGGCCTGACTCGCCCTGTCACTCTTTAACCACTTGACACTGATAACCGTGGTATGATTAATACCCCCTATTTAACTATTCAGATTAATAAATATACTCATGTATTTCAACATGTTTTAATGATAATGGAATATTAGATTTTTAAAAGTAATTAAATCCTCTTGTTGACACATGTTTCATGGCACGAGTGGCTATTAGAACAACCGGTGATACAATACAATTATTGATGTTGGGTGAGGTCACATCTAGGTTATGTTCAGCCCGAAGCCGGGATAATTGATTGACGCTGATGGTTGAGGCCAATTATCCAAACTGTGGGCAAATGAAAACATCGCATAGAAGAAGGGGCACATCGACAGCCGTTGAGAAACTGCAGATTCTTCAGGAAAACCTGTCTGTCTCAAAGAAACATCGTTTATATCGATTCGTCATAAAAAAAGAAATTAGTTGCAAATTGCAGCTGTACGTTGCCCCAATATATGTCATCCTGCTTCAATGAGAGATACTGGTAAGTATGCTGTGTTTGTCTGTAGAATGGGAACAAACAAGTTAAGGAACATGATGACCTGCAATTAGTGTACAATACTGCGATGTAGTCTTTATAACACTGCGAATAGCTGATGTACATTATACTGTATTTAGCCACTCAAACTGTGTGTGGTACAGTGACATTGACGCGTTATAATAATATACATCTACTTGTAGCAACAAATACAATCGTTGTTAGACACAGATTTCATACGAAACCACGCACAAGTTTCAATTAAGAAAAAAATGTCCGCACGCTTAACATATCCTGCAGTTGTCTTTGGCCTAATTCTCCGAGTGTTGTACATATCTGTCCAATTGATTTGCTTTATTATCAGATATTTTATCTCGTAACACTTATTAGAAGACATACGATATGTGATTTCTTTTACTTATCAATTTTTATTCTACCCATCAATATATTAATTTACCCACAGTTTCCATCAACACATCGAAAATAAAGACATTCTGCTATTCGAACATTATGGTTGGTTGGTGCTCAATAGTATTACCTGCCTATATGATATACATTTATTATGTGATAAATAGGGCGATTTTCTGAGGGTAATTTTTTAATTAGAATGTGGATGGAAATATTAACGAAAAGTGTAGACATATCAACTCTCTAAAATATTTAGGCATTGTGATTATGGAATTGAAATTGTTGCTTCGCTCCCAAAGCACAATTTAACTCGTCGCACACCTAACGCAATTCACCACCATACCTACTAATATGTATATAACTGATTAGATTGAATAAGAGAGTGTTTTCATTACTGAATCAAAATCAGATGAGTTACATTAGATTAACACTACAGAAAACAACTAATTTAGGATGGAGCTTGGATTCCACATCATTTCATGGAATAATGACTGAAAATAACCACGAAGAAATAATATAAAGTACAAAATACACTGATGCTCATAAGTTAAGCAACACCCCGATTTTTTCAAAAGTTTCTTCTATCATGATCATTATTTCATTTGTTGGTGGGGTTATGCATATTTCTTTCATATTTTATAAATAACTTATTCAAGTTGAATATTTCTGTTAAATATATACACAACATAGCTTATTGTAATAATCAAAATAACTTTATTAACCAAACGGTACTAAAATATGCCAAACTATGTGTCAAAAAAGTATGCTCACACAGCAAAAAGTACGTGCTGATTAAAACAGCTTATTATGAAAAAATAAAGTTCGATCATCTAAGAATTAGTTTTTAATAAAAGAAGACTGTAGATAATAGATGATTAATCGTCTATTATGCAATAAATATCGGGTGTGCCTTCCCTGGTTTTGAACAACAGCTTCACATTGTCTCCTGCAACTTGCCACCAAATTCTGCCAATCTTGCTTTGAGAGCCGGTTCCATTCTTCATTTACTGCCTGCTGGACCTCTTTAATGTTTCTAACTGGAGGTTGTCTCTCATTTACTACCCTGTCAATCATATCCTAAGCATGTTCTATTACATTGAGAATTGGTAAATAAGCAGGCCAATCCAAATGTGGGATACTGCGCTGTTCATTAGAATAAATTTTAAGCATTCAATATTAGCACTTGCTTAACTCCTCAGTCAATCAGATTACGTGATATTACCCGTTCTACTGATGTATATCCGGTAGTAGCCGATTATATACCGGAAAACAACGGAAAATTATCAATGACGCGTTTTACGTCAATGGTATACAAATAGTCGATGCCGATATTGCTGATGTTATGCGAACCTTTCAATATGCTCGCGATTCAAAAGTTGAATTTTCTTACGATTCATCAGACGCTGGTTCAGTTTCTCAGGAAATCTTACTTTTGGATGTCGGTTACGATGAAAGTGTACCGTTTATTACCTTTCAGGGATATCAGTTGGAGCCCAGGAGACGTGAAACATGCCCCCCCCTCCCCCCCCCCCCCCCCCCCGATAGAACATATGTAAT